AATAAGAGGGCCATCAATGGCGGACAAGCGTGCCACTGGTGAACATCGCGAAGTCAAGTTCACGCAGCCTTGAAGGATTTTCTTCCATTGTTTGTTCCGACTTCAGCACCTCGACTCCAATGGCGCTTAATGAGTATTCAAAACATGCAATCTCCAAGACTGGGAACATATACACTGCATTAACAGGATACAAACAGCACAGCAAGTACAATATCATAAGAAAACGAATGGATAAAGTGCTGAATATCAGGCGGAAAATTCGGCGGCCTTTTCGTGCGAGCCCCTCTGCGAGTCAACATGCGTCGTGTCAGACCGCACAGCGAAGCCGGAGTTATACTTGGTCCTGCTCCGCTCGACCTGAGCACTATGCGACTTCTGGCTCGTTCGGGCCGACAACCCCGACGCAAGCTGTATCGAGTCGGACATCTTCCAGCTCACATCCTGCGGCCGCGTGTGTCCGATTTCCGCGCGCGAGTTGAGGATCTTGGAAGGTGGCCAGTCAGTCCATCACATTTCAAAAAGCAGGGTTGCGCTTGCGACTCACGACCATCATGCTGTTGGAGTAGGCTTTGGACAGCCACATGCAGGCGCCGAGGTGGAAGTTGTTTCCGTCGAACTTGATGTAGAGGCTCAGGATGATGATGGCCAAGACGGCGCAGATCAGCCCTGTTTCCACTGTGACCTGTGGAGCCGTGACTGTCGGAGAAGAGCACTGTAATTGTTGGTGAGATTACGGACCTTGATAATCCGAGATACAATCGCTTTAGTACTCGAATGGAACCCTGGGTCTTGAGCTTTACGCAGATAGTAGATAGTGGAGACCACAATCAAGACGTCTGCGAGCGCTGTTCCACCCAGCCAAACCTGGAGCCGAGTTGGGTCAATACGTCCGAAGCAGATGCATTGGAGTTGAACAACGTACGACAGGAGCCTTCAATTTGTCGAAATGCGCCTGGGAAAATCGGCCCGTCTGCTGGATCAGGACCCCCGTCCAGATACCCGCGCTAGTCTGCACAAGCGCGATCGCAGAAATGATTATGGGCATGACCCAGCTGCGGTTGCTGATGACGAGGATCCGATAGGCGAAGAATATCTGGCCAACAGCGGCGACTGAAGCCCATTGCCGTCAGTATCTGCTCTCAGAAGTTGGCGCGCGAGCCACGCACTTAGCGATCCCAGCACCGGGACACTGAACCACGCCCATCCGACGGTATCCAACGCCACTGGGTTCCCCCAATCTCGCGCGAGCGATATCAAAGTTCCCCGAGTATCACCCGCGGTTTGCACAGTGTCTACGAGGAAAATGAGCGAGACGAGCAGCTTGTTCACGCGACTGTCTCGTGGGAACGCGGCGAAGTAGATGTCTGGGGTGGGTTCGATCAGTCAAGTGGCTTCTGCGGAAGAATTACGCATGATGGAACGGCGTTACGTACACACTTGAACAGCCAGTGTTCCTTGTAATCCCCAGTTCAGCATCGTTCCGACGAACTGCGAAGACGGTGAATATCCCGCCCCATAACCCATCCAGTGGAGTGATTACCAAGGGAATGGTCCTTTGTCATCGTGAGTTCAGACGCTGCAATCGGAGAAACCCCACTCACAAATCTCCCACAACAAATTTCGAGGCTTCCATCAGGTCGGTGCAGAGAAGAGTGAGTAAGTAGGGGAATGGAGGGGAGTGTCCCCAGCTCGGACAGAAGCCCGTCATATACCTCACACGCACTCAATCAGCCGCGACTCGGATTGGGTGCACCAGATCAGCCCAAAATAATCAGAACTGTCGTGCGCCGCGCGTGCTGATCGCCCCATCCCACCTGTCACTCCTGAGATACGGCTGGCCAGTGCGAGTTCGGAGAAGTGCGAGAGCGTGGGACGAGGAACAGGACGTGATCGGGAGAAACTCGACGGCGGGCGCGTGAGCATGCGCTGGTGTGATCCCAGTCAGGATAACGTAGTGCTCGTTGCGACAGGACTTGGTGGAAGGTAGCGGGGCCGACGGATCCCCCACGGCAGAATTGCGAGCATCCGTTTGAAACAGCGCAGGTTGCCAATGGAGCCAAGTTCAGATGGCGACAGGTACTACTGACCACACTCCTCAACTCTGCATCGGTTTCGAGTAGACAAGGCGGTCCCGAGAGGATGCTTATCGGCCAAGCGTCCACTGCAGTGTGTGGGCTCCAAGTCTTGGCTTTCCTTCTGGACTGCAATGAATCAAAGGAGCTAACGGCGAGTTTCAGAACCCATGATGAACTAGGATGGACGAAGAGAGGCAAATAACGTTGCGCTAGAAGCCGCAACTATCGGCGATCACCATCAAATCGTCAAGTGATCGATCACGTGCGTGAAGAACACTCCTCACTGGATTTGAATAGATTGAGAGTTCTATGTTCAAATTCAATGAGGGCTCGTCTCATTTCCAAGTGTACGGAAGAATGATGGAGGCTAAAGTTCATTTGTGATTATTCCCACGGTTCAATATATGCGACACCGCCACAAGTTGGAATTTGAATCGCTTCATCTACGGACGGCCTGAAGATCTCGCGTCATTCATTATGGAGTCGGCTGCCTTCTCGGATATCTGCGTCCTGTCACATTGGGACCTCCCACGATGAGACCATAGCACGCACCATATATGTAGGGGTCGTGACGAAGAAACCTGGTACGTCGGCCCAAGAGCTGAGATCAACCACCCGCAGGGCATCCACACCATAAACCCGGAAGTCGCCGTCCAGAACCGCCATCTTATCTGTAGGAAATCATCTCAAAAACGAAGCATTCTGCAGCAAACGCAAACCACTCACCGTCTTTCACCCCCATCTTATTGGTGCAGCAAACGTGGTGTCCGAAGACATGCTGTAGCACGTGATCGCGCAAGCTAACGTTCGGGCCTGGGAATATCTCCTTATCGATGAACCCACTGATCAGACTGCTGCTTGCGAATTTGCGCATGGCCTCCAGTCCGCCGACCAGCGCGCGGATGTCCGCGTCCCCGCCGGGGGCCTCGAAGTGCCGCTTGTGGATCGACAGCGGGTCCTGTGGGTGCGGACCGGTGAGCGTGACGGAGCCCCGAGAGGAGGGGTGCGCGAGGAGGACGATGGCGGAGAGGGCGTTCGGGTGCGAGTACGCGTCTTCGGCGAAATCTGCGTGTACACTCCGCGTCAGCCTGCTGCGGGGGCTGCGACGCGCGCTGACCTACTCGGGACGATGCCCTTGACGTAGACCGGGCTCAGGTAGGTGAACATGTTGGGGGCTGACAGACCCGGGTCGGACGTGGTGAGGAAGGCGTTCAGGACAGGATCGAACGAATAGATGTTGTGGTGGCCCGAGTCGAGCCAGTCGGCGAGGCACGGGTCGGTGCTCCTGTTTGACTGGAACGTGCAGCCGTCGAAAAACTTGAACTTTTGCGTCAGGTTCCATATGATGGTGACCTCGTCGTGGTCTGAGCAGTATCCGTAAAAGCTGAGGAACTTAAGTTGAGTAAATCCCACCTTGTAGATTGGCACCGACCCCCGGAAGATCGACGACGGTGTCAATTCCGAACTCGGCCAGTTGAGTCGTCTTACCAATCCCCGAGAGCTACAGCCCGTGATCAAGACATGAGTTCAAAGATCGGTTCGATTCGAATTACCATTAGCTAAGACCTATCAGAATGGTGCCAAGAGGCCGTGGAGTACGTACTCACTAATTGCGGACTCTGGAACACACCTGCTGATAGGATGACCTCGCGTTTGGCGTAGACATTCTGAACAGCCAGGTTCTGTTTCCCCGCAAAGTTTCCCAACGCGACTGGGAGGGCCGCCCCGGGTGCGATCTCCACTCCGTATGCCTTGGGCTGGGAGCCGGACGCCGCAGGCTGACATAACAGAACCCGCGTCGCCAAAGTGTCCGTTATAAACTGAAGTTTCGGTTCATTTACTCGTTGCACTGATTTCAGACGAGCATAGACGGAGGAGCGCTCCCGAGTCGAGTTGATCGTGAAGCTGGGGAAGAGCAGACCCGCGCTTCCGTCACCGGACACGCTGTTAAGATCGAGAATCGGGGGCGCGGCCAGTGCCAGCGCGGACACCAGGGCGATCAGCTGAGGGTCCAAAATATCTGTGCATACACTGAGCAATCTCGATGTTCGTAGAACTCGGTGACCCACCCAGATGATTCAACAAGTCGAGATACGGCAGACTCGACGTTTCGAGCCACCCGTCGAAGCCGTGATCCCCCGCGGTCAGCAAAGGCGGAATCAGGTCTTCGTTGTGCTCGATCTTCTTGTAGTACGATTGCATGTTCGTCCGTGTCCACGACGGATCATCAAACATCGTAGAAACAGAATCGAAGTCAGCCTTGGTTCCTCCGATCACATTGATCATCGCATTGTGCAACTGAGAGCGATGGGTCGAGTGTGTGAGATAGAAAAAACTCGGATATGCGCACCGTCGAGCCGCCGATGCCCCGCGAGCGTGGATACCTGCAAGAGGCCATGTCAACTTGTGCTTCAAGAGCGCACAGGGAACGCCCAAACCAAGCCACTCTAGATCCCGGTGTGCTGTACTCGACGACATCGTACGCCAGCTCGAGCTGCGGATCTGGAAGCCAGCCAACTCATCAGTAACAGAGCAGCGCTCAACGGCAACTCGCTAGTTTCTCACCCTCAGTCGCACGCGGCCAGAAAGCCGGGATCGAGGTGTTGTATTTCCACACATCGTCGCCGGCCTCGACGACCAAAACTGGGTCGTGAAACACTTCAGCTGATATATTATGAGGGATGCTCGAAACCAGCACCAGAAAAACCATTCTCCGCAAGTCTAGCCGCAAGTGGTCCGCCTCCGGCGCCAGATCCGACGACAACGTAGTCAAATACGTCTTGCGGCGGCAGAGATCCGAGGTCGGGACATCCAGGCACAATCGAGCCGCGAGCGCGTTTGATTCGGGCGGCGAGCGCTAGCAGCGAGACGACACGGGAAAACGTGCGCATCCTCTGAGACCAGGCGCTTGCGACCGGAACATGGCCGGAATCATTATGTAGGTGCCTGTGCGCCGCTCAAGCCCCCACCGGCCAAACCACGCGGATGCTGTCAGTCGACGACGTTTAGAGCGTTTCGCATTTCGCGCCCACGCTCATTTTGAGCTGGATGATCCGGTTGGGTCGCGTGCTGGCGGTCATTGGACATATCAGGAACAGTTGCCAGTTGACCGATTTTGGATCCTTGACAGGGTAGTGCATGCGAAGGAACTAGGAGTTTGAATGACAAGCTGATGAAGTGGGAATTTCGGAGCGGAAGCGACCGGAGCCTGATGCTGGCTCCACATCCCGGGAGGATCAGATTTTCGCCCGAGTTCCCTGTTGATACTTGCAACCAAATGAGGGAGGCCGTCCCACTCCAGTGCATCTCAGTCACCGCACGAAGAAGACCTGGGAGAAAACAGTGAAGGTCTCGGACGAACCAGGCCACAGTCGCCGCGACCCGCGATTATCTGACAATAAGAACTCAGACGCCTCATCCGGTATACTGTCTGCGTGAAGCCCCTGACTATGACGGCAAAGTCATACAAGGCAGAAAAGCACCAGCACTGAGGTCACTCAGCGTGCTGAGACGGCCGATACGTCCAGAAATCCCGGCAGGACTGTATCAGTGCCTGGTTGAGTCCGACATAGAGAAAGACAGCGGTGCATGGACGTTGGGGTTGGTAATGAGAGACAACCGGAATGTTTGCCGTCTGATGTAAGCGTTCTGAAGAGTTGCTAGTATTGCCGCGCAGGGCAGGGCCAGTCGAAGGATGGACGGAGACGCACGCCGTCAGATCACTTCGATTGACGTGATTAGAAATAGGCTTACGATTCACGAGATCGTTCATACCGGAAGTCTTCCGCCCATCTGAAGGCACCGCGACCGGCGAAAAGAAGCTGAACTGACATATCATCATCGCAGGCGCGAACTGTCATCGGCGCTGAAGTAATATGTTTTTAAGGTCGCAGGAAGAGGTCAGCGCGGGTCTGTCATGTTTTGCATAGCGACAGAGAACTTACAAACGTCTTCAATCACTTGATTACATGTCCCTGCCTGACCTGACTTATAAATTATGTGCTTTGATTCAAACTCGTCACTCCAGTGCCTTGCCTACTTTCAGTCTCTGCGCCTACACGATGACCGAAAAAGTTACCGCTGGATCCCTTGCACAAAAGTTCCTCGACGCGTTGTGCGGCGGCGACATTAAAACGGTCGACCAGCTCTTGTCCGATGAATCCACATGGACTTTCCGCCCCGCTTCGTTGCAGATCCCGACTAGGACCAAGAGAGAACTCATGCTGCAATTTCAGCAACTGGGGGGGTTCTTCACCTCGGTATCACTACATTCCGGGGGTACCTAGACCCCGAAGGGGTCTAGGAGAGTAGTCACCCATAGTCCCTTGAGCGAGACTACACGTGTAGACACCATGGTGAGTACGGGTGCCTACATGGGACCGAGCGGGGTCGAGAGAATCGGTCGCTGATCGGCCATCAATCGGTCTCGGCTAGCCCCCCTCTCGTTCCCACGGTGCAGAATGCGCGCGATTTCGGGCCTCTCCCGCCATTGCGGACATTGTTAGGTACTATAAGTGTTCTAGGTAGCATTGATAAATCATTTTAACTGCCTTAATTGCCTGGTATATCTAGTTTTTCGAGCTGTAGCCGTGATATCGATATCAGCGCTCAAATCTGGCGTGAAAACGTGCCTGTGCAACGAGGCAAGCGGCAGACAGATCAGAGATACCTCTGCCTCTCCCATATGGATCGCGGACGCTCAAACGGGCGCTCTGCAAGTCGATCACTAGCACAGCGGGGACGCATTGATCAGCATCCGTCCGCCAACGCACAAGCTCCATCCCTCGCGACAGAGCGTTCCGCTAGTCAGCTACAGGCTGCCCGGGGGCGCACAAGTTTCCGGGGCCGAAGCTTCTCTGGTCTGCCCAATCCACCCGACGTTAATCCACCTTCATCACACACATCCCCCGATCCCGTTTCGAGTCCTCCCCTTCAGTCGGAGGGATCCGCCGGGTCACAGTCCCTCAACGAGGCTGGCTTCACTGGCGAGACGGAATCTTCTGTAAACCCTGAAGGCGGAGATCCGATGCTACACCCAGTGCAAGAGGTCGATGAATCAGAGGCGTCACCGGTACCGATGCCTTTTGATCCGCTGATGGTCATACAATGTGTCTTGATTCTCTGCGCCTGGCTCCACACCGAGCACCATGTCTCATTTCGTGCAATCTCCTTGCTTCTCTGGGCAGTCGATTTTGTTCTCAGATTCCTTCCGGGAAACATTCTTGGAGATAACACACTTCCAAAGACCCTGAAAACAACACTGGCTTGCTTGAGCATCCACGATCAGTTCAAGATACATCCGATATGCCCGTCCTGCCACTCCATTTTCCCGGAAGTATCCCCAGTGGATTCCAAATGCCCTACTTGTGATACGGCAATCTACCGTGTTCGATCGCAGTCAATGCTTGACCGACTCACAGCCACCGTATTAGGAGCTGGCTCCGGAAATGATGACGACTCAGATATGGAGGCCAGTACTGACGCCCCAGCTCCAGAGAGCTCAAAGCACTCCGATTTCAAGCCTGTTGCTGTTGCTCCCATTCTCCTTCTCTCCGATGCTCTTCAGGGTTTTTTTGAACGGCCAGGCATGGTGGAAGCGGTTCAGGAGTGGAAAACAAAATCACATTCAGACGAGAAACTGGAGTCAATCCAGGACGGGGAGATTTGGAAGACCCAGGAAGCTGCTGACGGATCACGGTTTTTCTACGACGAGGGAATAGATGAATTACGCATAGGTGTTTCATTTGGGATAGACTGGTGCGTTCTATCCTTTTTGAAATATCTAGATCCCTGCCCTCATTGATATTAATGATACTCAGGTTTGGGCGCAAATCTAGTCACTATGGTCCAAGCCATTCCTCCGGTGTTCTCAGCTTTTGTGTCCAGAATCTGAGTCCAGAACTGAGGTATAAACTTTCTCCTGAAATCTGTGTGACTTGGATTTCTTAACCTTTGATCTAGATACCGCCCAGAGAATCTGATCGTAGTTGGAATGCCCCCGGGTCCTACCGAGCCTACCTCGCCGCAGCTGCAGAACTACTCAAAGATTATAGTCGACGATCTGATCAAACTGTTTGAAGACGGAATCTTGATAGACATTCCGGGAAGACCAAAACGTAAGTGATCTCACAGAGCACAACACAGCAAACTTGGACTTGTCAATTTATCTTCACAGGGAGGTACCACGTCCGTGTTGCCTTGATATCAATCATTGCAGATCATCCAGCTATGTGTAAGATCGCTGGGTTTGCCGATCATGGCCACAAGAATGCTCCCTGCCACAAGTGCAAGGTCTGCAAAGCAGAAATGTTCACCGCTGCATCGCTCCAAAATAGTCTGTATTTCTCAGAATCTTGCGCAGAAACTAACAGTTGCATAGAATTTCCTGGACGAACAAAAGAAGAGCATAACCAGCTTGCTAAACAATATCGCGATCTTGAGACTGAGGCCGAGAAGGATGCTTTTTTTATGGAACATGGTGTTCGGTGGTCTGAATTTGTTCGTCTCGAATACTTTGACATTATCCGGTGCACGGTGATTGATCCAATGCACAATTTACTTCTCGGTGCGAGTCTCCACTTTCATTGTCCCTGAAATGGTTCCAATATCCTACACAGGTGTTGCAAAGACTCAGTGGTACTCAATCTGGATCAAGGAGAAAGTTCTACGTCCAGACACAAATGCGAGGGAGAGGGAACTGCATTTTATCCACAACATTTTAGAGATGGTTTGATCTATCCTGAATTGTGATCTTGGACATGTCTGACTGGCGTAACAGTTTGAATGTCCATCCTGGACAGGACATCTTCCGTTACGGGTTGGCGAGCCTGCCGGTGGATCCCTCACTGCAGACGAATATAAATTCTCAGTCACCGCGCCCTGGGCCATCATAGTGCGAGAAGAATTTCTTCTTCGTGATGCAGTGTTATTGACTCCACCAATTCTTTCAGATCCCAGTGGTGTGGGATATATTCCGTCCAAAGGAGCATGAACACGCAAATGAACAGTATCAGCAGAAAAAGGCAGAATACGATTCAGAACTTTGTACATGGCAGAGGAAAAGGATAGCTACTCGAGGTGATCCGCCTCAGCCGCCATCCGAGCCTGTTTATCGCATGAAGATTGGCGAGGAGGAGAACTTTCTCCGTTTTGCAACTGCGCTGAAGATTATAATTGGCAGCGTTATCTACAGAGAAATGATTCCGAGGGCATCATCTCTGTTAGAGGATTATTTACTGGGCTTTCTTGAGGCACGTCTGCTCCCTACTGAATCCAGAATTTAGGCCTCATTTTTGGCAGCTTTATGGCGCTGATAGCATGAAACCAAACCATCATTGGGCCATCCACATTCTTGATCAAATTCGGGATTTTGGCCCTGTCTATTCTTTTTGGGCCTTTTTGACCGAGCGTTTGAATAAGACGCTCAAGAATCTGAATAGCAATAACTGGGCTGGTGGTCAACTCGAGGTTTCGATGATGCGGGAGTTCCAAAGAGGAGTTCAGCTTGAGACGGTTGTATGTGTGCCATCATCACCTCACCAAATTTACCCCCCAATTCCTTTCTGTTGCAGATGGAGAGAACCATCAATTCACCTACCAAATCAGTACTGGAGAAAGATTTTGTCCGGATTCTCTCTGGAAATATGAGCAAGGGACCTCGTGGAACTATTCAGGATGCTGCTCAATCCGGCAGTAGTGCGTGCTACAAAATTCACTTTCATTCTGAGGACTCATATATTCAAGCTTCAGAGAAGGTACAACTGGGCCCGATCGGAAAGTCTGCCCACCGTGTCAATAACTCTCTGCAAAAAGCCTTGCTCCAGCTGTATAATTGGGAGGAACCACATGTCCATTTTGGTTCAGAAGATATTGAAGGAACAGAAACTCTACACATGTACATTCGGACTTACCAGCATGCCTTTCTCTCCGGTCGGAAGATTATTCCTTGCTCTCTGCATGGGTATCCGGTGGGGTCCTCACTGATCCAGGCATTATTTGATAATGTCCCCTATGCGGGTGAGGTGCTCTATATTTTCAGCCACCGACAACCAGGTGTCAATGTCTCGCACAATGAGATTTTTGCTGCCGTCCGTTGGATGGTGCCATCAAAATGGAGTCCGCTTGACAACACCAACTTGTGGAGCTCATTGTGAGTTTGCAGCTTTCTGAATTCAACGCTGGCTTACATTCCAGCTGTTTAGTCCTGAGCTTGGTATCGAAACCTGGAAATTCAACAAGTTCTTTGATTTGGACACGAATCTTCCACCTATGATTATCCCATTCAAGAATATTCAATGTCAGGTATCTCGGTGCAAAGTCACTCATACGGATCCTCATCTTTGGATTACTACTACAATGGACCGTGTATGTCAAGTCGTCTTGCATGCTCTGACACAATAGTAACACTCAACAGTTCATCACCCCGGCTATCGCAGCAGGATTTACGGACGATAATGATTAATAGAACGACTGTATGGGTATCTCTTGAGCTAGAAATGTACTGTTTCTTGATGTAGCTAATTGTCCTGTGCATTGATTGCCACATCATCATTGGTACTAGTACTTGCGTTCGCTGGCTCCAAATCAAATCCAGGAGGACCGGACCATGTACCCCAGCCAGTGCTGACCAGATACTTTGCCTTGTCGCTGTCGGGGTCCATCATCTGTTCCGCCAACCAGTCCGGGCGAATGGCGAAGTTGTACGGAGCCTTTTCAGGCACGCGCTTGTCTATACGAGTCGTGGTACGAACTCGAACATATTTGCGCTTGTCCTTGTCAGCCTCGGCCATGGAATCTTCGTAGATTTGGCTAAGCTCAATGTTCATATTTGCAGCCTTCAAGCTACGTCAAAATTGGCCCCGAAAAGAAGTTATGCAATGCACCTGATCTGTCTGCCAAGGAGGCTTGCACACCTCAAGGAAATGCATGCCCTTGACAGAGTTCCGAGTCACGTCCTTCCTCCCGGATGCCTTCGCCATGCGAACAGCCCAGTTGACTTGGTCTGTATCCGAATCCGAGGAGTTGGGCATGGAAAGCTCGTCCGACTGATACTCAACATCCACGGTGGCAGTAACGTTGTCGGGATCAAGGTTGTGTCTGGCCGCATATGTGGGCACGGCTGAGCGCCGTTGTTTGGTCTTCTAAATGGACTCAGAAGGTGTTGAAGGAATCGAGACCGCCGGTACATACCATTCGGCGACGCTGAGTGCGACGGTCAGTGGTGTTGTTGCTCTCTCGCTTCTGTCGAGCAGCTTCATCCACTTGAGCGATGTACTGCCTCTTGAAGCCTTTGAACGACTCCTTGGCAAAGTCCTGCAATATGTTACGGTCAATAGTTCCCCCGCATGTGTCGTACTTGGCAGGACGGCATGCGGGATCCTGTTGAGAACAATCAAGGGTCAGAGTGGTATAGATGCCGCAACAGAGAGAGAACCGTACCTTGAACTCCTTGAGTATTGTGTCGGCAACAGCACTGACGATCTTCGTGTTGGTTCGGTTTGTCAATCCCCCTGGAAAGTTTGGAGTGAATAGAGTCTCGCCCGTGCTAGGATCCGTCCGAGGAGGCGAATCCGGGTCCGGCCACGGATTCTTGGATGTGATGCCACAGAGGTTCCGGAACGTCGCACCGACATGCCTCTAAGCAATGAAATGAGAAGCCAGTCAGGATGTGAACCGTCATTGCGTACCGTGATCTTTCCTCGTACCTCCTTCTGATCGTCTGTGAGCTGGTTGTGTGGCAGCCCCAACGACACCAGAGCAGTGGACTGGGCCTCCGAAGCATTTGTGGGCCCGGAGGATTGCGTTACGGCGGCAGTGGGTGCGGAAGACATCAAATGCGTGGCAGAAGGCTCCGGTCGAAGCGAGGCTGCGGGAGTCGTTGTAGCGTGCAACGCCGGTTGCCATGCAGGAGCTTGACTGCCAGCGATAGGTTCAGATGAGGAGGAGACCTCCTGGTACGCAAGACGGACATTAGTCATGGTAATTGAATGTAAACTTGAATCTTAGCGCACCGATTCCGCATCGAGACTCGTGTACCCATCGTCATCTGATCCATGTCTATACACCCTTTGCGCTGGATTGACAGTCGCAGAGCGAGCGAGCTGTTGCTCAAGTTCCCGGTTACGTTGACGGAGTTGCTGAATCTCTTTCTCCGACTCCCGCTGGTGCAATTCCGCCTCCCTCTGACGCAGCTCCATCCGCTCGAAGCGTTCTTCCAAGGAGAGGGGGTACCGGTGGCCGCCGTGATGCTCATGTTCATTGTAGTAGGTTCCTGACGGTGGGAGATTGTACTCAGACTGTGTGACTGGCGTCCGGATACGCGATTGAGGTGGCGGGTGGAGCGATTCAGGCGTGGTGAAGGAGCGTGTGGGTTCGAGCCCTCCGGGGCGCCATTGACTGCAGCTTGATCAGCAAGAGCCTAAAAGCTCCGGGTAGCACGTAAAACGCACCTCGGCGGAGGCCCTCTCCCCAACCCCTGTCTAGAACCCATCCCAAAGAACGCTGTAAGGTTCCAGATGAGCTACAGTGAGGTTAGCACCATACCCTCGAGCGCGCAGTACGATGACTCACCGACCAGCGCTCGCGTCGTTGTGTAGTTAGCTGAATGAGTGTGGTCACGGTAGAGGTTGTAGTGCGAATTTCCACGATGAAACAACATGTCTAGCGCCCACTGCGTATGAGGACCAGGGACGGAAAAAGCTAAAAACGACATGCTTACCTGTTTTGAGATGGAACTCGCACACACACACACGTTCCCTTCACACTGTCACCAGCTTGACGACCGACGAAAATAGAGGTTTTGAGATGGCCCGACAGCTTCATTTATTGTCTAGTACAGTGCGGCCAAAGGAAAGGTACAGAGGAGTCGAAAGCGTGGGCTGGTGGCAACATCTATGGTAGGCACCAGTAGCCCCAGGGCCGACCGGTTCCGGAATAGTGACTACACATGGGTGACTACTCACAAAGGCACAGCTCGGTAGCCGGCGACCCAAATCAGGGACTAGCGCCGAAGTCCCTGATGGTCTAGGCGCCTCGGCTCTTGTTGGACTTGTCTCGGACATTGATCCCCCGATCTAGACCCGTCGGGGTCTAGGTACTCACGGAATGTAGTGTATGTGGTCCCGTTTCGTCCGCGCCGCGCAAATGATCAGATGCCGTGCAGATGACGGTGGTCTCCCATCTGAAAGCGACTGAAGCCACGAACAGCATCGTTCTTCATGTGAGCGCTCTCTTGATCTACTTCCGTTACCCAGAAGTTGTACCAAACCGGTCACCGCAGTTGGTCGTCGAGAATGTGGTGGCTGCCACAGGCCTCCCAGACCAAGGCGAATACATCTTCACACTTGAATGCGACATCGAACGGGGGAAGATTACCAGCGTGAACGAGTTCTCGGACTCTGTGAGGATGCACAGACTGTTCGATCCAAGGAATGGCGAGGGTTGGAAGTTGATGAGAAAGGCCTACGATTAGATAAGTCCTCCTTGATGTTTCTTCAGTTGAGCCCCCAGTATATACAGTCAGTAAGCTTGTTTGATATGTCAGTGGATAAGTGGTGGTCCCCACATGCAATTTCACAGCCTAAATTACAGAAATTGGGACATACGACGATCAGCCACAGATGCGCGCAAGTGTGAATGTGATTGCTGGCCACAGGTCAAAGCAGATGGAAGTTGTAAGTAAGCACATGACAGGTGATCGCATCATCTTGCATCGATCATGACGCATCGGAACTTGGCTCACTGTCAACGACATTCGTTCAAACCGGGTGCACTTCGCCTGCCCGAAGCTCCTGCAGGCACAGACAGAACATGACTATATTTGGATGCTGTCTTTTCGGACCCGAGCGTCATCGAAATCGAAGTCGTTCGTATAAGCTCATGACAAGCGGCCAGCGCAGCACGAGTGGCGTCAAGGAAGGTACGAAACCCACTCTGGAACCGCGCAGCTCGGGTCAATCTTCTAACTCAATTTATAACGAGAGATTCACCCTCACCTTGGCTAGCTTGACAGCCCCCCCCCCCCATACTAGCAGTACCTGTGACAATCAACCCAAAAAACAAGTCGAAAAGAGAAGTGAATTCGAAGACTGGAGAATACAACCAAGTAGCTACAGTATTTATACCCAAATCCAGTCTGAGTCATATCTACAACTAATGAGTCATAGGGCTATGTACCGCATGGAACGCTGGTCATGGGTCGTAGTAGAACCTTCTGGAGCATATGTCGCGCAGCCTCGAATCGATGAAGATAATCCCTGAAACCCCTAGTCCGGACCGCCTGATGCCGTGATCCGTGATAAGATAAGTTGTGCCAAGATAAGATAAGATCGTCGATGATAAGATGAAAAAGTGGCCGAACTATGACATTACCCCCTCTCTAGGGTCGATGTCCTCATCGACCAGGCCAATGGGTAAGAAGACGTTCTCGTAAGGGTCGAAGAGCTGTCTTTGGGGGTATGGAAGGTGCTCGTCCCTGGGCTGGTAGCGATGAATGAGATAGTCCCAGTGTCCAGCTTCGAGCGTTGGCAGGAGGCAAATGCGTGTGTCTGGATTTGATTGTTTCCTCTGCCAGTCTCTCAGGACGTCCTTTGCGTGGGTAAGGTGACGTGATGGTTCCCAGGTGTTCTCGCTGTGCGGCCATCCCTTCCATTTGACCAAGTACTGTTTTCCTCGGCCGACTTTTCGCTCTTTCACGATTTCTTCGACTTCCCACTCCTCTGCTCCTCCGATCATCTTGGCCACGGGTCTCTTCTCTCGGCGATGGGGGGGTGGTTCGTGATAGGGTGTCAACAGTGACTCGTTGAACACCGGGTGTCTTCGGTCCGTGTCCGGCAAATCCAGCTTCCATGCGGCCGCTCCAACCTTCTCCAGTATCTTGTATGGTCCCAATCTCTTGTCGCTCATCTTCTTTGATGGTCTATCCGTCTCGATATTTTCCCCTTCTATGTACACCTTCATCCCAACCTTCAACTCCGGAACTTCTTTTCTTTGTTTATCGTAGTATTTTTTCATTTTTTCTTTTGCTTTTTCCAATGCTGCTTTTGCTTCGTCTTGTATTTCTTTGATTCTTTTTACAAATTCCTCCGCCGACTCGTTCCTTGATTCCATCCGCTGCTCCACTCCCTTCCATGGGTGATATCCGTGATTAGCATAGAACGGCGACATTTTGGTAGACGTGTTCATTTTGTCGTTGTATGCGAACTCCGCCATTCCCAGCCACTCCGACCAGTCCGTCTGATGGTAGTTGACGTAAATGCGGAGATAGTGTTCGATCTCCTGATTCATACGCTCCGTCTGCCCATCCGTGATGGGGTGATATGCGGTCCCCGGATTCATTTCCACGCCCAACATCCGATTCGTTTCCTTCATAAAGCCCTTGATGTATCGAGAGTCCCTGTCAGTGATGATTTTGCGGGGGACCCCGTGATAGCGGAAGATTCGGTCCCTGGTTAATCGTGCTACTCCTTCGCTGCTGATGTCAGTACTAATTGGTTCGACATGGATCATTTTGGTGAAGGTGTCACACCACACATGAATTGCGTCATACCCGTTACTGACCGGTAGGGGTCCGATCTGATCCATGGAGATGATTTCCCACGGCGCGTTTGGAACTGCATGCGGGTGCAAACTCCCTGTCCTGGCTCTTCTGGTCTTGGTCCGCTGGCACGCTTCGCACGTCCGGATGTATTTCCGAATTTGGTTTCCCATCCTTGGCCACCAGTAGTTCCTTTCCACCATCTCCTGCGTTCGGTTGATCCCGGCGTGTCCGACCAAAGGGGTGTCGTGGTGTAGTCCGATGATTTTGTCCCGCAACTCCTCGTCCCTTGGTACGTAGAGCTTCCCATGGTACGTGATAAGCCCCTCTTCCTTCTTCCATCCGGCGAGTGACTTCTCTAAGGCCGCCTTGACGCTTCCATCAATTGATCGAATGGCCTTGATTTCGTTGATTAGCTGCTGATCCTGTCCCTCGAATGTGACTTCTTGTGATCGGAAGAACTCGGGCTTCAGTAGCGTGATGTCCTTGTTGTCGTTCTTGCCCTGATCGTGATCTGCTCGTCGGGATAGGAGGTCCGCCTTGCGGTTGAGTGCGCCGGGTCGGTGTCGTAAGGTGAAATCGAACTCCGCCAACTCCGTGATCCATCGTGCTTGCCGTCGATTGAGCTTCTGCGGCTTCCGAAAGTACTCGAGATTCTGATGATCGGTGAAGATCTCGAACGTTTCCGTGGCTCCCAGGAGCAACTGCCTCCATTCGTCAAGTGATAACATGATTGCGAGCATCTCCTTGTCGTAGATCTCATAATTTCGCTCGGTTTCGGTCAATGCGTGCGAAATAAATGCGATTGGGCGCCAAATGCCGTCTTGGTTTTGGCTCAAAACTGATCCTGTTGCCCCTTCCGAAGCATCGGCTTCCAGACGATATTGGCCAGTGTCATTTGGCAGTGCTAAGACGGCATCCTCCGCGATTCTCTTCTTTAACCCATCAAACGCCGCATGTTCATCCGGACCCCATGACCATCCTGCCTTCCCTGTCAGCCGCGTCAACGGCTTGGCGACCTCCGCATATCCCCGAACGAAACGTCGATAGAAGTTTGTGAATCCGAGGAAGGCTTGGACTTGTTTGACGCTCTTTGGTTCCGGCCATTCCATCACGCCCTTGATCTTGACAGGGTCCATCCGCATCGAGTTGTGTCCAATGATTACACCGAAGTATTCGATTTCCGTGCGTTCGAACTCGCACTTTTCCGGCTTCAGGTATAATTTGTGCTTTTGGAGCAACTCGAGTACCCGTTTGGTGATTCGTCGATGTTCATCCAGATTTTCTGTGAAGATTAGTATGTCGTCCAGATAAACTACCACATGTCCCTCGTTGATCAGTTCCCGGAGTATGTCGTTCATCATGTTTTGGAAAGTTGCCGGGGAATTTGTGAGACCAAAGAACATAACCAAGGGCTCGTAAAGTCCGCGGTTTGTGCGAAACGCAGCCTTCCACTCATCGCCCTCTTTGATCCGTACGTTGTTGTATCCCCACCGGATGTCTAGCTTGGTGAAGAACTTGGCGCCGCACAGGTTGTGGACCAGTTCGGAGATCAGCGGTAGCGGGTACCGATTTCGGATCGTCATCTCATTCAGCTTCCGGTAATCTTGAACAGGCCGTAGCGAGCCATCCTTCTTCTTGACAAAGAAGAATGCCGATGCCATGGGTGATTTTGATGGCCTGATTCGTCCGCTGGCTAGGTTCTCTTGTAAGAACTCGTCGAGTTTGACCTGCTCGTTTCTCGATAAGGGGTACACCTTGCAGTCCACTGCTTTGGAGCCTGGTTTGAGCTCGATCGCATGATCCCATGCCCGTCGGTCCGGTAGCGAGTCGAATGATTCCTTGGCGAATACTTTGACGAATTCTCGGTATTGATCTGGAATCTTTCCCTCGGTCATTCTCTCCTTCTCCTTTTCTGCTTCTTCTGCGAATTTCTGCGCCGGCGTTTCCTTCAGCCGTAGGTCTACCTCCTTTCCAAAGTCGATCAACAAGATCGATTCTCCCTCTTCCAGATCCGGTGCACCTGCGTCCAGGTCAATTGCATCCATGTCGATCATCGCTTGGTGCTCCTCGTGACCCCTCATTTGACATTGCTCTGGGCATCGGCTGAATCTCATTGTCTGCTCCCGCCAATCCACCTCGGGGTTGTGTTCCGTCAGCCAATCCAGGCCGATGAAGATCCGGGCTTTTCCCAGACACGTCAGAAGGAACGTGCGTGTCTCCACATGAGGACCGATTCTCATTCTCAAGTCGACGTAGTGTGTGATCCGACCGCTGATGTTCTCGGTGTTGTCGGCGTTACGAGCCACAATGGGTTGCGGAAGCTCTTGGATATCCAGCTTTTCTGCCCGTGCGTAGTCGGTGTCGATGCAGCAGGTACTGCAGCCACTATCGAGCAGCGCCTTGACTCCACGCGTTTTCCCTGAGTCCAGGCCCGTGATCTGGACATATACGTCCATCGAATGCCTCTTTCTTTCGGCTTGGTAACTGCGCAATTCCTGCGCCAATCTGCTGGGCTGGGGGCCCTTCTGTTTCTCGGTCGCCAATTTCCTCTGGATGGCATCTGGCACCCTGGTGCGTTTGGGTGCTTCTGGAACCTCGATTTTGGCAGATTCCTTGGGCGCTTCCTCCTTTTCCAAGGATCGAGCCTTCGGAGCGATGCTCCCCTTTTCGGTCTTTGTTGACGTGGTTCCTTCTCCACGAGCCATAAATACGTAGGAGTCCAAAAATAATTTATCTGCAGCTTTCTGATCCTTTTTATCTTGTAAGTATTTTCTATTTAGAGCTATCTTTTCCTGGCGTTCTTTTTCCATCTCGGCAATAAGAAAATCGTGAATATTTGTACGTAGTGAGTCTGAGATCGTGTATGTAGATGAAATATTGTCCGTATCTTTAATCGAAACAAGTACAGAAAATCGTCCATAGTCCGGACGCTCCACCTCCTTGGCTAGAGGAGTGGAGCGCTTCAAAAACCCTTCTCGCGCAGCTTCTCGGCAATCTCCTTCAGGAACTCGTTGTCCTTGTCCCCGTTCTCGATTTCTTCCAGTATTGTGGCCCGATTGAAGAACGTGCGCTTCTTCTTGGGCTCCGGGCAGTTCCGCGCAATGTGCCCGGGCTGCTGACAGTTGTAGCAGATGATATTGCGGCCGCGGGCGTGGGTACGATCGATTTCCATCGGAACCGGTTCGTTGGCAGCGGGTCGGGCCGGAGCGGGTGTGGGCGCCACTGGTGCCGTTTGGGGACGGAACTGGGGAGGTGGTCGTTGTGTGGGGTGCCCATACGACGCTTTGCGCAGCTGGTCACGCAGAGCATTGGCTTCGATGTTGATGCACCAGGCTTTGAACGCTCCATAGGCCTTGGGCAGAGGGACACCGGTGTTGTAGAGACGGCTGGCGATCTCGCTGCTGAGTCCGCGCTCCAGGAACTCGATGAGGATATTATCCTGGTCCCCCTTCTTGTATTCGCCTTTGTCGTCGGTGGTGTCGACCACATTGTAGCCTGCATCCGCGGCCAACATCTCAAAGTCGGAGATGTAGTCCGCGAAGGACCGTTTGTTTTGACGCAGGGCCATAAGCCGAGCAGCGGCGACTTGTTCCGCATTGGAGTCCCCGAACGCCCTCTGAAACTCCTCCAGGAAGTTCTTTGATGTGACTCCTGCCTTCAGTCCCTGGAAGCCATCGAAGTTGTGCTGCTTCCAGTTCATCGCCCATCTCGAGGCGGCGCAGCTCGTGCCGTTCTCGTTACGGAGGTAGGAGAGGACAAAGAGGATTTTGGTCTCATCTTGTGAGAACTCCGATCGATAGGCACCGATGTAAGTGGTGCACGCGTCCACAAAGCCCAGGTATTTGGACTTGTCGCCATCGAAGTAGGGGGGGTTGGCGGCGAGGGTGATGCGGTGATGCCCTGACATGGTAGGGGCAGGCGTGTGAGGTGGAGGCGAGGGTGGTTGTTCGGAGGGCAGTTCGTCGAGGTCGGGGATCTCGTCTTCAGGCGGTGGGAGGGCGAGGTAGGGGTCGGAGGGCCCGGGTTGGTTTTGATGCGCCAGATCGGGCGACGATGGTATGATGGGGGGAGGGGATGGACTCCCAGACGACGATGGGAATCGGTACGAAATGGTGGATTCGTGTGCTGTACAAGCACTCGAGGAAAGGTTCTTTTGCTAGCAAAAAGATCCCGGGCCTAGCTCTTCACGTGCCCGATGATCCCGAGGTGCGTTTTCCCGAAGGTCTCCGCAGCACTCCTTGTAGCTACCGTAAGGCTTGGGTCGGGCTCAACGTTACCCGTGGCCTGGTGCTGTTTGCTTGATATGAACCCTTCACTGCGATAGTGGAGGACGACTAGATGATTCGGTAAAAGGGTGAGTGGGGTGATAAGGGTTAAGAGGATATAGCGGGCGTAGCGGTGCAAGATGCAGGGTAAGAGGTATGAGGTAGGAGGGTATGAGGGGAGTCTTCGAATTATGTGACAATCAACCCAAAAAACAAGTCGAAAAGAGAAGTGAATTCGAAGACTGGAGAATACAACCAAGTAGCTACAGTATTTATACCCAAATCCAGTCTGAGTCATATCTACAACTAATGAGTCATAGGGCTATGTACCGCATGGAACGCTGGTCATGGGTCGTAGTAGAACCTTCTGGAGCATATGTCGCGCAGCCTCGAATCGATGAAGATAATCCCTGAAACCCCTAGTCCGGACCGCCTGATGCCGTGATCCGTGATAAGATAAGTTGTGCCAAGATAAGATAAGATCGTCGATGATAAGATGAAAAAGTGGCCGAACTATGACAGTACCTGCGATACTAAGGCGATGGCACCCGGCTCAGCGACTGCCGGTTCTCTTGCCCAACAGTATCTGGACGCACTTTGCGGCGGCGACATCGCCACTTTCGAGAAACTGTTGTCTGACGACTTCACGTGGACGTTGCTGCCCGCCTCGCTGGAAGTTCCGAGCAAGAACAGGAGAGAGCTTCTGCTGCTGCTGAAGCAATTAGGGCGGCTCTTTAGCTCGGTGCTCGTCTTGTCTACTCTGACGAAATGGGAAATGCTTAACTTGAGAATTTCAATGTCCACAGGTCAAACTTCTTCCACAGCAGCAAGCGGTTGAAAGCGCGGACAGCGTTGTGCTTCATGTGAGCCTCACTGCGATACCCTTGAGCCAGTCTTGATAAGATGATGGCCACAGGTGATACTCGAGACTGTGATCACTTCGACCGGCGAGCTGAACAGAGGAGAATACATGTTTATGTTTAAATGTGACACTGACCGGGGGGAAATCTCCCGAGTGACGGAGTTCTGCGATTCTGCCGGGATGCGCAAAGTGTTGGATGCGGGAGACGGCGAGGGGTGGAAGTTGCTAAAGCAGACCTACGATTAATTTAGTATCATTGATATTGCTCCTCCAGTTCAGTTCTTGAACATGCCGCTTGATCGCAACAGGATGCGCATCATCGCGGCATGTCGTCATGATCAGGACGAAACTTAGCGCGACCGCCGATAGCCCCGCTTACGCTCTTCCTTCATCCCCATGTACCTTGTCCTGTCCCGTTCTCGGGGGCCATACCGTGAACGTCCCGTCGTCCCGCTCTCCCGGAGCAGAGCCATGCACACCCAACCTTGATTGACTGGCTGCTTCGAGAACCCGTCGGATGCTGAATAGGCCCGGCGCGCGGTTCGGATAAACGAACCCTCCTCGGATTGGAAGGAGGATATGGCTGGACATACGCCTCCGCACCACGCTGCGCCACCGCGCTCCACCATGCTGCGACAGATAGCCTGATGTCTCCTCGCTTCGGAGCTTGTAACTGAGACACCGTTGTCACGGAGAGCTTACACGTGGTCGTCGCTGTCGTCCGTTGCTCCGGGCTCCTGTCCCACTTTTTTTTTTAGCAAGAAAGGATGGGCCAGGAGCCGAGGGGCGGAAGGATGCGAAATGGCCGGTGGCGCGGACTGCAGTACGGACCGAGACCTAGCCTGATGGATCCTGGGTGGCGTCCCGATTTGCTACGACGAACGTTTACCCCAATACAACCTGCGAATCGCCGGCGCTCGTGTATTCGCAGAGCCACTCCCAGCGCAGATCGATACCTCGAATCGCCTAGCCTCACGGTCACGTGTCTGCGCGCTTTTGGCCGCCCAATGGGTCTAACTCTATCGGACATTGGACCTGGAAGGGAAATATTCCGGCCCGCCGACGCGTCCCCCCGCACTGTTTCACTCAATTTTCTGCCCGTCCCGTGTGGGGATCAGACATCTCTCCTGATCGCTCACGTGACTGTCTCAAACGATTGGCTGGCGCAAAACCCGCTCACGATGAATCCCCAAAAGGAAGGCAGTTGTCTGTCTCCCCCCTCTGCTTTTGTCTCCCAACCACCATCCTATGGACTCTAAGCCCGAATCGGACCCGGTGCAAGAGACGATGCCGCCCATCGAGGAGCCGGAGCCTCAGCACGAGCATGAACATACCCGCGCCGTTGCTTTCCAGGAGGAGCAGGAGATCGAAGAAAAACCGCGTCCCAAAGGTGCTCACTGCGCCCCTCCCCTCTTTCAGCGCACAAGCACTCAACCTCACCCAGGTGTCGAGCTAAAGCATACCATCACGCAAGAGGACAGGGAACTGGCCGCCGCGGGCTATGAACAACTGGAGGCGAACAAGAAGGCTCAGTTGGACGACTCGAAGGACGCAGATATCACGGAACACCGAATCCCCGTCACCCAGCTCGGGGAGCGACTGAATACTGCCATTGACATCAAGGATCCCGGATCCTCCGACGGACTTACCGCTACCGAGGCCGCCGAGCGTCTGAAGCGCGACGGACCGAACGTACTGACGCCCCCGAAAAAGAAGTCGCCGTTCCGTCAAGTGAGTGGTGCACCCTGGCCGTCTGCAGGGTGTTTACTGATTCGCGCCTAGTATGTCGATCGTTTGCTTACCATGGTACGCTCGTGTGATCTATTGTTCCGCGCCGGTCGCTGATGGGCGGCGCAGTTCAACGTCCTGCTGATCATCGCCGGTATTCTGGAATACATTCTGCTGGGCATTGACTTCAAGGACAACTTTGCCAACACGTATCTCGGCGGAATTCTCATTGCGGTCGCCTTCCTCAACGCTTTCATCGACTGTCCGTTCCTTGCCCCTCTACTCTGCGCTTACTGCTGACCTTCGGTCCAGGGTATCAAACTCAAAAGTCGGAAGCGATCTTGGCATCCTTCCTGGCCATGATTCCGCCTTCCTGCCACGTCGTCCGCGATGGCTCCATCACCGCTATCCCTGCTGCAGATCTCGTCAAGGGCGACGTCGTGCTGCTGCGCTCCGGCGACAAGACTCCGGCGGACCTGGTCTTGTTTGCGGCGACGGACTTCAAGGTGGACAACAGCAGCTTGACGGGAGAGTCGGAACCGCAGGAGCGGTTCCCGATGGCCGCGGGCTCCGAGGGACGGGTCGTCGAGGCTGCGAATCTGGCCTTCAATTCGACCCTGGTTGTGAATGGAGAAGCCTGGGGAAGTGAGTCCCCGTCCTTCTGGCGTCCAGCGCCGGGGCTGATCTGGGCACAGTTGTCGTCCGGACCGGAGATCACACCTTCATCGGCCAGATCGCTTCGCTAACTGGCGGCGAATCAGGCAACGAGAGCCCGCTGGCTGTTGAAATGTTCGCACTTCGTTCATCTGCACTTGCCGCGCGCTGATTGATCTCGTCCAGTGGCCAATTTGTCATCAAGGTGTCTTGCATCGCTGTCCTCTTCGCGATCGTTTTCTTCGTCGTTGGTATCACAACTGCCTATAAGGGCAAGGCGTCGCAGACGGTGACATTCGCTGTCTCCATTCTGGTCGCGTTCGTCCCGGAGGGTCTGCCATCCGTTGTCACGCTCTTGCTGTCCATCGCTGCGAAGCGCATGGCAGCACAGAATGTGCTAGTGAAGGATCTGCAGGGTGTCGAAACCCTCGGATCGGTGCGTCCTTTCCACGTTCTGATCTATAGCCATCGTGGCTCATCTGTTATCATCAGTTGACTCTCCTTGCAACGGACAAGACTGGGACGCTCACCCGTAATCAAATGACCGTCACCAATCTGTGGAGCGGAGGCAAAATGTACTCTGCCTTCCAGTCCAACAACGACGAGGAGACCGTTTCTTCCTTCTCTCTGGAAGCATCCGGGATGACTGAGCTCGTGAATATTGCTGCGCTCAACTCTCGCGTCAAGTTCGATACGACCGATATTCCATTCGATCAACGGCAGATTCTGGGTGATGCCACTGAGACTGGTTTGACGCGCTTTGCTGGACGGTCTCTGCCTGGCAGTTATGACGAGCATCTCAAGAAGCACCCGAAAGTCTTTGAAGTACCGTTCAACTCTACGAACAAGTGGGCCCTGGTCATTGTGAGTTATAAAGCCTTCAAGCCAAGGTCCGAGGTTTACCTCGTGTCTTTTAGGTCAAGAAACCTCATGCGAACGGCGAGCTCAGCTCTTACATCAAGGGTGCACCGGAACGTGTCCTGGCGAAATGCTCGACCTACCTCAAGGACGGCGAATTGGTGCCCATCACGGACGAATTCCGCACAGCCTACGACGAAGCGTACAACTACATGGCATCACGCGGACACCGAGTGATCGCCTGCGCGCAGTCGTTGCTTGCCGGCTCCTCGTACCCCGCCGACCACACCTTCTCGCGCACGGAGTTCCCGCAGACGGACTACTGCTTTGTCGGGCTTGTCTCGCTCGAGGATCCGCCGAAGCACGGTGTGCGCGAGGCCATTGGCACGCTGCGTCTCGCGGGAATCAAGGTCATGATGGTGACGGGCGACCACCCCAAGACGGCGGAGGCGATCGCGCGGAAGATCAACCTGATGATTGGCGACACGCGGGAGACGCTGGCAGCGAAGACGGGACGGCCGCTGGAAGAGATCTATGACGATGAAGTCACGGCGATTGTCATCCACGGAGACGATATCGATGACCTGCAGGGCTGGCAGTGGGATCAGAGTGAGTTTCGTGTTGTGTCGCACGCAGGGGGGTTGTGCTCACGAGCGGTAGTCTTCAGCAAGGAGGAAATCGTGTTTGCTCGGACATCGCCCAAGCACAAGCTGGAAATCGGTGTGTAGCGCCGCGCCTGTCTCATATTTGTATACTGACGAGTCGACTTCTCAGTCAAACGCGCACAGGCTCTCGGTCACATTGTCGGAGTGTTAGTCTTATCCGCACGTTCAACTTCCCTTCTTGACCCCTCACAGTACAGGTGACGGTGTGAACGACTCGCCAGCCCTGAAGAGAGCCGACCTGGGTATCGCAATGAACATTTCCGGTGTGTCTCACCCTGGCCTCGTGCTTGCTTCCGCGGCTGAGATTCGTAATAGGATCCGATGTCTCCAAGGAAGCCGCGAACATGATTCTTCTGGGTAAGCAATATGCTGGATCTCCACCTGAGCCGTTCTGATTTCCGCAGACGACAACTTCGCGTCGACTGTTAAGGGTGTCGCTGAAGGGCGTCAAATCTTTGTCAACTTGAAGCGGTCTATCCAGTACACGATCTCGCACTCAACACCTGAGGTCATTCCTCAGCTGCTTTGTATGTTTGAGAGCTCTAGCACCGCTCATCTGATTCTGACCCTGCATCAGACGTCGTCGTTCCGATCCCTCTTCCTCTTTCTGCCATTTTGATTCTCGTGATCGACTTGGGTTTCGAACTATTCGTCGCACTGTCGTTCGCCTGGGACAAACCTGAAACCGTCGATGGTCTGATGCGCATGACACCCCGAAAGCCGGTCAACGAGCGCTCGATTCTGTCGCTCAAGCGCAAGGCACTGAGGAGAACGAAGACACTACGCCGCGATCCCGAGACGCAGGAGGTCATCCCACCCAGCAAGTTCTCTGTTTTGGCTGAGAAACTGCGCAAGCCGTTCACCCGAACGTACTGGGAAGATGCGATGGAGCCGTCGGACGGCGAGACGCTGGTCGATGGGAAGTTGCTGTCGTATGCCTATCTGGAGGCCGGGATGATCGAGATGTTGGGCAGTCTCGTCGCCTACTTTGTGGTGTTCTTCAAGGCTGGGTTCTCTCCGAACGACTTGCGGAAAGCGCAGAAGGCCGGATGTGAGTATCCACATCGCTAGGTTCTCCCAGTCCGATGCTAATTGAATTGCAGTGTATTTCACGAAATCCAGTCCCGACTACATCAACGGCCGCGGTCAAACACTAGATGCCTCTGCCCAGGTGTCAGCCCTGGCCCAGGCACAGTCAATCGTATATCTGTCGGTGTTCATCATCCAGTGCTTCAACGTGTTCGCTGTCAAGGCCAAGTTCAAGTTCCCCTTCGGGCGCAACGCCGTGGGCAACAAACTCAACTTTGCGGGCATCCTCGCCGGCGCCAGTCTCGGCATGTTCATCATCTACACGCCGCCGCTGCACGTCGTGTTCGGCGGCACGGACAAGCTCAGCCCGCTGTACTGGCTCATTCCCATCGCTTTCGGTGTCCTGCTGCTCGTGTGGGCTAGCATCCGGGTCGTCATCATGCGCAAGTCCGTCGAGGCTGCAAGGGTGAAGGACATCAAGGGCCTCATGATGTGTGCGTACTTGCTCCTTTCCTCCTCACCTTTTTCGTGCAGCCGGCTGATGCGCTGTATCTAGTCCCGACGATGAGGACGATGAGCATGCGCTCGAAAGACGGACGCAAATGATAGAGAGACGACATCTAATGAACTTATACGAACTACATAATGCTTGCTTTGCTGACGATCGGGCTTGGGTTTGGGCATGTGCGCATGGGCCTTTTGCTGGAATACATGAAATTGAAACGTTCAATGTCTCGAGAAGTTATCCGCAACTCCAAAGCTAAGGGTAGAGTGAATGGCTGGGAAAGAACGAGTGACGTGGACGTGAAAAGTACGATAGTGATCAGAATGCGAAATCGGTAGAAACCGAGCGAAGAGAAGGAATGAATAAAATATATCAAACCTGTGCCAGCGCACGAAAAAGGGCCTAACCGGGAATTGAACCCGGGACCTCCTCGAAACGATGCTACGCAACCCTAACAAGGAATCATACTACTAGACCATCAGGCCGATGAATTTGATGGCAATCCTAGATATGCATCCACCTGAAATAACTGGCGACAACATTAACCAGGTTGTCAATGCACACATGAGCTACTGAATGAAACCTCTTGATCTATTCTATGCATAGTCAGTGCTGGTGGGATGCAGAAATTTGAAACATAATACAGAGGATTGGATGAGTGTGCGTGCAGAAAAATAGGCTTTCTGTCCTGACAAAGTGGAGGGGAGCAAACACACCAAGCAGGTATATACAATGCTGGCCTGTGACTTGCTATGTTTGATCTTCTGAGACTGGGCATCATTTTGGGATGAAAACAGATTTAATTCTTCTAATGCAGGTCAGCAATCGCCAATGTCAAGGTGCTGTTGAAATCAGGGCCCATACAATTGACTAATATTGTTTTCGTTTTGTTTCAGCATGTCAGAGATCTTTCATCGGAGTCCGGTCCCATCGGCCTGATGGTCTAGTAGTATGATTCCTTGTTAGGGTTGCGTAGCATCGTTTCGAGGAGGTCCCGGGTTCAATTCCCGGTTAGGCCCTTTTTCGTGCTCTCCACCCTGCGCAGATCTTCACCCGTTAACCAGTTAATACTCTCCACACGCTTCATTGCTTGTATTCATCTTGTATATATCGTCCTTAATTTGTGCCTAGTCTATCAGTGCTTGACGGTCCGCCAAATACGTGTGCCCTACTTCACGCCAGTCACATATCTGTCCCTTACCGTCGGCACACTGATTTCAAATGTTGTTTCCGCCGCTCTCAATCACGCTGACGGTCACTTCTGTCCTCGCCCTACTATTCATCTTCGCGTATCAAGGGCAAGATCTTGGACTTCGCCATGCACCGTTTCCTCGTGCTCAACAGGAGCCTATCCTCGCCTCATTCTCACGGAACAGAGGACCCTTGCCGATCCCCTCGCGCACCTTCGTTATCTCGCTTCTGCGGCGCCAAGATCGGCGCGAGGACATGGAGCGGCTGCGTGCACGTCTCAATGAGGCTGGCGATTCGATGGGTGAGATCCAGTGGTCCTTCGTCGACGCATTAGAGGCGGCGAGCCCCCTTGTGAGCAATATTCTGGCGAGCGTGAGGACGCTGCGCACGGCTCTTGCAAGAAGCCCGGAAGCGACGTACGGCGACCGCGAAATCAAGCTCCCGTTCTCCTGGCCTGCTGAAGACGAGTCCACTACGCTCAATCCTACCGCTTTCTGGACTGACACTGCTCGCTCTCTCCGCCACCACACCATCCATCAAGACTCGACGCCTCTAACGTGTGCCACTGAGAATCTCACGATCCCGACATACACACCTGAGCTACCGGAATGGAAGATCCTCTCTCGCAATCGCATCGCCGTGTGGCATTCCCACTTGTCGACTGTCCGCTTAGCTGAGTCCCTCAACGCGCGCGAAGACGAAGAGCTTGTAACGGCGACACTGATATTGGAAGACGATGTGGATATGGAGAGTGATGTCCGCGAACGCTTGCGCGAGATGTGGCCTGCGTTGCCGAGAGAATGGGACATCATCTTTCTCGGTGGGTTGTGTCCTTTTCCTGATTCTTAGCTTACAGATCGCTAGGCCATTGCTGGTCCGACGAAACGCTCCACGCGCCCATCTACGTGTCCTCCACGTCTCGCACGGCTCTGCACCCATCAAACGCACCTCTTTGTACTCATGCATATGTCCTCTCTCCCAAAGGGCTGCGGCGTCTTCTCTGGCACCTCAATCACCTGCCGTTCTCGTACTCCCGCGCTTACGACCGGGCTGTTGCGTGGCTCGTCCAGAGCGGGCGGATGACTGGGCTCTCGGTTGTCCCTAGTGTCGTGGTGCAGCGCAAGATCGGCAGCAGCGATGTGATGTCTGGGACAGGAAGCCGGTGGAAGGACTCGCTGGCTGATGGAATCCTCGACCGGTTGTAAGTAGAAGAGGTGGCATCCAGTATCGATCGAGAAGAATCATATGAATAATTTCTCCCTTCGAAGCACAGCCTAGACGGACTGCGCTGGGCGGCCTAGCCTTCATCCACGGCGTTGGAAGCTGTCCTTGGCCAGGCAAGTTACCTGAGATTGCTACTCATCGACGGTCTTATCGATGTGAGATGGGGGCAGTCACCACACGTTTCCCATGCGGCAAACTGGTCTGTGCTGCCGTCAATCGATCGTAATCCCTGTGCGACCAGTACTCCGCCGCGTCGCAGTCAGAATCACTCTGCTTGGATCTCACAGCTTCCACGTATATCTCCGATGATCGCCGACCTTAGAACGACCAAGTACCGATAGGTCGCCATGCTAGCCTTTGAGTTCTTATTTTAGGGAGTAGAAATGAACTGCCGATCTTCTCGCGGGGAACCCTTATTCTCGATCTGATGTTTTCCAGTCAAGTCCGCCTGACATAATCACGTGCTCGCGTTCTGCAGTCAGGTGACGCGATGCCTATAATCCAAGTTGGGCTCATGCGAACCAGTTGGCAATCTACCCTGAGCCGTTGATCGGCATATCGAACTCTTATCGATCTTGTAATATGCTCAAATGCGGGAGCCTACCCCAAGATGCTGTTCACAGATCGATCGACCGCGTCTGGACATGCATATAAAACCTGCGGATTTCCGTTGCTGATAGATACTCACTTGTCCACCTCTTTCATTTCAATGGCTCCCAACCCTCAGTGCTCCGCCCTCGCTGCCGCCAAGACCCGCTCGGGTGAGCCCCAAGGGATCAATATGGGCCAAGCGCGCATGCTCAACTAGAATCCAGGTCTCTCGTACGGTGACATCGCCACCAAGATCGGCATCCCCGAGCAGCAGGTTATCAACAGTGCGTGCTATCCACCTTGGTATGGTGTTATTTCTGAAATGTTCCCACCGCGTAGTCTGCACCGGCTCGCAGCGCCCCACCACCAACGAATTTGATGCCCTTGCTCGTGTCTTGGGAGTGACCGCTTCCGTGCGTGCTCTGTCGTTGAGAGTCCCCTGGTAATAGCTGATTCCCCCTCGCAGTCGGCCCCCCACGACGCCGCGCACGCCACCCAGTGAGCGCCCGTAGAGCATGTACTCTCCTGTTGTACGAACAATGTGTATAATGATAACGGACCCGAGATAAACGCGTGACTGCAAGCCCGAGTCGACAGCCTCGTGTCTTGGGATGAGTTTGGCGCCGATCGAGCTCGGCTTTTGTGCATCTCGGAGATGACGAGAGGGAGGCTGTACATGTACGTCGAAAGCTTCTTGAGCGCGGACCATTTCCTGCTGGTCCGAACTCGGGAGACTCGGGAGAATCAGGTATCACGTGTTCGTGTGCCCTGTCAGGTGCTCGACCACTGCAGGCCCGGGCCACCGGTCTACATTTCACCGGTTCGCGCGCGTACCGATGTCATATCTGGGGCAAGAGCCTTCCCTTGCCTTCTGCTAAACATCGTATTTTCGCCCTCCACCCACCCAAGCATGTCCGACGGTACCTCAGTAGTGTGTCTCCCTGTGCATCGCTCATGCGCCATCGCAGACTTGTCTGTTCCTTCGCTTTTCAATGTCAAGGGCAAAACTGGTGCGTCTCCCTGCGATGCAATTGCAGCTCGCGGATATCTTCATGGCCGCGTTCTCTGACTCGCACCCCTCGTCGTCGTTCTCTCTGCATAGTTCTCGTCACGGGCGGCAGCGTCGGTATCGGCTTCATGATGGCCAAAGGCTTTGCGAGCAACGGCGCCAAGGTGTTCATCGCTGCGCGTAAGGAGGGTCAGCTGAAGGAGGTGTGTCACAGCAGGCTGTTTGTGCGAATCTATGAACTGATTGAGATCCGGCCGGCGCTTGAAGGCTGTGAACGAGCTGAAGAAGGTGGCCAGTGCGGGAATGGAGCCTGAATATATCGTCGCGAATGTCGCGGTACGTTCGACCCAATCAGCTCCTCCATTTCGATTTCCTGTCTGCTCGCCAGGCCCCAACTGACTTGCCCGCGTCCAGTCGAAAGCAGGGTGCGATGCACTCATCGCCGCTTTCAAAGCGCGCTCCTCGAAGCTGCACGTCCTCATCAACAACTCGGGGATCACCTGGGGCGGGCCCTACGAGAACTTTCCCGAAGAGAAGGGGTGGGACAATATATTCAACGTCAACGTCAAGAGCATCTTCTACAGTTGCGTGCCTAGTTCTTCCGCGTGCGGGGGCGCGTCACTCAACTTGTCCTCCACACGACAGTGACATCCGGTCTAACGGACTGCCTGACGAAAGACGCGACCTCGACCGATCCGGGACGCGTTATCAACATCTCGTCCGTTGCGTCGCTGGACCCCCACAGCGAGGGTGAACTGAGTGATGCTGGGAACGGGACGTGGAGCTGTAAGTCTTGTGGCGGAGTCAAGGTTTGTATGTGGCGTACTAACTGCTCGGACTCGAAGACCAGCCCAGTAAGGCTGCAGGTAATGGCACTTGCAGATCCTGTCCCGCGTCCTAACTATCCCGGCCCAGTCAACCACCTGACATCCGTGCTCGCAGTCAAATTGGCGTCTCAGCTAGTAACGTCCGTCATCTTGCCTTGGCCTTGCACGTGATTCCAAACTGACCCACCCGACACGAACGACAGAGTGAACGCCATTTTGCCGGGGTAACTTGTCTGCCTGGCACCCGAATGCATGGCTCTGATCAGGATCCAGTGTGTACCCCAGCAAGATGACCGCATTCGGGTTCCGCACGTCGGGCGACAAACTCGTTGCTGGGCAGCCCATGGGTCCGTTCAGTGTCCTGTATCTGGCACATTGCTGAGCTCTGAGCGAGTGTAGGTCGGGTTGGTGCACCATCTGATATTGCTGGCCTGGCGGTGTTCCTGGCTTCGCCGGCTGCAGCACACATCACTGGCCAGCACATCGTCACGGACGGTGGATCGAGGCTGCAGCCGAGAGCAAAGGGCCCTTCTGCGAAACTCTAGGCTTACGAGCATTCGATAACATAGGATCAATCCAGTTTGTTATCTTGTCTCTGCGCGGGGTTACCCGCAGTTTCACACTGATCTCACGTTTCGCTTCTTGATCATCCGAATCTGCGGCTCAGTCTCACCGCAATCGTCAAGGAAGTCAGTCATAGTGCGCTCGGCGTACGAAAGGGCAATCGGAAACCGGACATCATCTTAGCATGACCGGGCTCAACAGTTTCGGGGTCAAAGGGTGAGACGACTCGGTAGGATGCGATAGGATTGGCTGCTTCACCGGCGCATCGAGACGAAGGGACAACCTAGCCCAATCTCTTCATTGCATGTTTCAAAAGCAGGAACAAGGGATTGCTTTCCACGCCGGATGCAATGATCTTTTCGAATTCTCCCCATCGGATTTATCCCAGTCGTCGACCAGTGCCATCGCTTGGTCGACAAGATCGGGGGCTGGAGTATTTGCCGTCGAACATCTGATGGGTGTGGTTGCATCTCTTGTGAGAAAAGTGAGAGTACACACTCTCTGCACTTTTCTTACCCACTCTGAAAGTAGTCGGTAGGTAATCTGCAAAGCCGTCGTTTGCTGGATACGAGGCGTCCACGCATTCGTAGTCCTCTGGGGCTATTAAGTCTCCCCCTGCTCGACCCTCGTTTCGATCCTATTTTCAAGGCGTAGATGCTGTGTGCTTGAGATGAAGGCGTAGCCGGAGACCGCCGCCGTCGGCTCGACAGGTAGAATCTCGATCTTCGCCGGCGCGGGCTTCTGGACAGTTAGAACCACCGTCTTCTGGCGTCCCATCTGTCAGAACTTCCTCTGCGTTCCCAGCAGAAGCGTTGCTAGGGTTCTCAGTCGCTCATGTCTCTTACGTCTCACAGTTCGTTGGGTGGGCGACCATGCCTTCCGCGCCGCGTCGGTCCAATCAGCTCTAAATACTCAGGTCAACCGCCCATATCCACACTCTGGGAAGCAGACACACCGACGGCGAGGCGTCGCGGTCGGTGGATCGGGTGACCTCTGGATGCACCGATCCAGCCCGCCAGGAACTCGTGCATCAACTGCTAGTTCATCACTTCTGTCCATCGCATGTGGACCAGCGAGCGACAGGACATCCTGCCGACGAACCAGTCGTTTTTAGTTCGCGCGGAATCCAGTCGATTTTGCTGGGATCCAGGAACGAGGTGTTGGCTCCGAACAATGGGTCGGTGGAGTACTTAACTAGTGTTTTTGAATTCGGCATAGTGTCTGAGTGCTTGGCTAAACGATGATTCGGATACTTGGCCTTTGACATCCTGGACCGAAAATCAATCAGCGGTCAACAAAAGACAGCACCTGTGATTTAAACGGCATGGACGGCCCAGCCTGTAAGCTTTCAGCGAGCAGGCACGATCACGTGATCCAGTGGCGCGTATGTTTGATTCGTTGAGACGCACGTAGGATTGTAATCCCTTCAAATTTTCTAGACAAAGAAAACTAGCAATGGAAGCAAGTGCATATGCTTTTCGAAACGTGTTTTCGTTATCCTGCATCGCTTGAAATAGGGTCGGAAATAGTCACGGTCGCCCATGATCTCCACAAACTTTCCAAAGAGATGCCATCGAGCCAGAATATTTTTTTTGCATACATGCGACAGGACGTCACATAAAGCCGGAGTGGTTTTCCATGTCCACTTGATGCTTACTGGCCTGACAAGATCAAGCGTTCGATTTCTTCGCAGACTTCAACGAGCTTGTGCCAGGTCATGAGTTCTAACTTGGAAACGAGGAAACAGGGAAGAAAAGTATTAAGAAAGGAAGGGAAGAGGTTCTACGAGATCGGGCGAGACGCCGTGACTTATAGACTGCAATCACGCTTGTTGCGACGTCCCGCAAGCAGAGAGGCAATGCACTTACTTGTAAGGTCGCTAGACCAGATTATACTTCCTTTTTTTTGTCGAAGGCCTTTGACAATTGGTATTGAACTGCGGGCCTCTTCTGGTCCGAATTCATGATACAGCCTGATACGTAGCGAATGAAACCGGTTTACTCGAACTCCAGTAGGAAAATAGCACCCACCATATTATATTCTTTCAAATGCCGCACACAAGATTCATGCTCCCTGACTACGTTCACGAATCATTCTGCGAGGAAGGAACGGATCCATTCTCCGTCGTTAAGCAATCAGAGGACATTACATTTCAAAATGTCAACACGGTAACTGTCACACAAGTGTTTGGTTGAGAGCAGTGATGGTGCTGGACGGAGATGACCCAAAAAGGGCCTAACCGGGAATTGAACCCGGGACCTCCTCGAAATGATGCTACGCAACCCTAACAAGGAATCATACTACTAGACCATCAGGCCGGTGGAAGCAGTTACACAGAAACCAATACAATCGCGGGGGACATCAGTGAACCAATCACCGTAGATGATCATCTCAAATTCCACTGAACGAGCAACGATCCAAGCTCAAATACGACCAGTTGAAGCTCAGATATGGCTCGATTGACAAATATAATGGTTAGAGGAATGATACATTGTAGGCATGAGTATGGATACAGTGTCTGGTATGTAACAAGAAAACAGAACGAGACAATGCGAGATAAAGACGAAATATAAACAAACATCAGTGGCCAGAAGGAGGGAGAGAATCCGTAACTCTAGTGACCGTCCACCGACCGCCAACGGAATGGTGTATGGCAATGTGACCTGCTTGCGCTGTGGACCTGGAGCCCTCTTCCAGATGGACGAATCTCGTCTTCCCATCCAGAGCCTGAAGCACCTCGGGGTACCGCTTCCCCATGATCCGCTCGACACTCGCAGACTCGCCGATGGACGACAGAAACTTGATCGCCTTGTTCTTGTGCACTCGCCAGTCGGCCTCGGCGTCCCCATTGCGGGTCTTGTTGAGCACAAGCACGTGCCCGCCCGACGCAGCCGTGTCTGCAAATGTGTGGAACGACACCACGTCCGATGCACCGGCCAGATGGGTCTCGAGATGCAGAAGATGGGTCCGCAGGCCCACGAAATGCGCCTGAGTGAGCGTGTGCGACATGAGGAAGTCGTCCACCGCGGCGCAGGCCGTGCAGCCTCCGCAAATCCGACGCGCTGCATGGCTGAACGCGCCCAGCACGTGCTCGAGGTAGCAGCCCACCATAGCCCGGAAGAAGTCGGAGAATGGTTTGTGATACACCTGGATGGCATGCTCGTGCAACGTTCTCCGCAGCTGGTGAACGTACAAGGGGCTTGTGATATCGGCAACCCAGTCCCGTCCTTGGTCCCGGGGCACGGTAGTGAACAGCACACGGCGACACATATCTAATCGCCGTATTGACAGACATAGATCGATTATCTCAGACAGTCGCCGAGCCCGGAGAGATAGATCGCCCGAGCGAACCACGATCCCGAAGTCGCTGATGATAGTATTGAGGCCCTCGTCGACCAGCAGGTTGTAGACCTTTTCATCTTCCGCACCCGTCGTATTGGACCGAAGCGTGGAGAGCGAGCGCAGGAAATTCGTCCAGAATTCATAAGCATTTGGCATGCGGATGATCGAACCCATGATCCTGCGCCAGTCTCGATCAGAACAAGAAGAAGACGACGTTATAAATCGCTTACACATCCCAGAAGAAAGTCACGCCCCGCTTGCGTATTAATCCGCTAAACAAAGCGACCTCTTCTTGCTCCAGAACTTGCATCTTGTCAAGCGCCTGCTGCAGCTGTTGACTTGACCAACGCAAAACCGCGTCGAGTGCCGGCCCAGATTCAATCGACTCGTACATTTCCGGGTCCGCAGCGAGGAAAAACTCGATTGTCATCCTTGATCCCTTCCTCTTGCAGCAAAGCTCGAGGCTGATGCAGTGAGAACCTAGCGATGTATATTCAATAGAAAAACACGCACCTTTCTCGCACTGCCGCGAACCCGAACTGCTTCCAGGCGCTCAGCCACTGGATCGATTCGAGGGCACCAATCAGGGATCCCCGCTCGCAGGTGGTTCGAGCGGTATCATTCCATAATTTGGCATCGTGCCAACATATGGCGATGTCTGCGAGTGTCGTCTGGGCCGTGAAGTTGTACGGGTGTTGCCGATGGAGTGAGGCTAGAACATAGTCCACGATCTTCCTTTCCACAGCACTTGGCCCGGGACGCCGAGATAAATTCGAAAGACAGTCCAACGCATACGATGTCCTCCGCGTGTGAAGCAGGACCTCGGACTCCCGGCGTTTTTCGAAAAGAATGATGACCGCACGGGAGAACTGGAACTCAATCTGGGGCGATTCCTGCTCGAGAGCAGATCAACAACAGAACATCTCGAGACAAGAACAACACATGCCTTGCTGTCGTAAACGACGAGATCCGGTGCCGGCTCAAGTGCCCGGGCTGTCCTGACCAAGTCACCCTCGTCCAGCTCGAGTTGACTGAGGCCAGGAACAAGCCCTCCGTCAAAGTCAAAGACGTCCTTGATAGTCAGCCGTCGACTGGTGACTCGCTCCATCCGTGGCTGCGAACTTGTATCGTCGACGTCTGCCAGGCCGATGAGATGATCATCAAGGACTCCCAAGCCAAGCTGGAAGCCGAGCTCGTCGCAGAGAACCTTCAGATGGATGATCTTATGCCTATCCTCGAACTTGAGCGTGTCCGCGCGGAGATCGTTCTCACGATACTCGTGCAGCAGCGGATACGCTATAATGCTCAGCGGCTCTGCGGTCCTGTTCGGGTACTCCTGGTGCTCGGACCACTTGACGAAGAATCGCCGAAGGCCCAACAACTTGTCTCCCATAGCAGGCAAACAGGGTCTTGGACCCGCAGTCGGCTCGGGACTGGCCAATAGCCGGTATGATAGTGCCAGTCGCCGACCCTGCTCGATAGGTTTGATGATGCAGTCCACACCGTGATACCAAGCAACAAGTGATGTGGAAAAACTGGAGACATGAGCGACCCGAAGTCAACACGGCATCGCAGCGCACCTTGACGTGGTCGAGAGATCATAGTTTTCCGAGCATCCCGCATACGATAGTTGGACGTTGCCGCCTGTATAGAAGGACGGAAGGATGACATGAATCGTCGCGAACTCGTCCCGCCTCGGTACCTCGGTGCTACGGATCGATTCGTGTCATTCAGGAGCAATAATTTTGCCGGGCTCAGAACTTACCATTCGTATTCGAGCACACTGAGTCGACGTGTCAGAAGAAGTGCAAGCCAAGTCGGCAAAGGATACGCACTCGGCGGTGGCTTCCCACAGCAACAAGCTTTTCAGCTCTAGCCGGGGGCGCGCGGCCCCCGGTGTCAGCTTCTTCCACACATCTTTCAAGACGATCTCCTCCAGATAGAGGGACCATGCCGGATTGCTACATTCCAACGACCCGGCATCCAGCTCCCACACGTTCCCGATCGCGATGTCGCTAGTGTCCGCACCCGTCTTGCTGAGTGTCGCGGAGATGAGGTTCTGCACGAGCTTAGCGTCCCGTACGCTGAGCGGGAGACCTAGAATCCCGATTCCCTTGATGTTCAGGCCCGGGTTGGCAGCAGAGGACGTGGTCGCCGCGTGGCAGTACTTCCCCCCAAAGTCAAAGTCGCGGCGAAGTATGGTCTCGAGTTCGCGCTGCAGCAAGTAGTCTTTTTGATGAGAACGCATAAAAGCTTAACGAGAAAGAACGCACTGTCAGATCCGACGGACGCACCCCACTCGGCGAGTTCCTGGGCGAGTCCCTCGAGGAGTTTGATCTCGACGAAGAGGCTCCCATGACTCTAGCTTTCTTCCGGGGTGGTTCGTGGTAGACGGCCTGAGACAGTCTTTTTGGACTCGCGTTCGGTTCGTTCATAGGGGAAGGATGTCGACGGGAGGTGGTTACGGAAGGGGCACGGTGCCTGTCCTTCCGTCTGGCACTGGGCCTGCCATGCTCACGTAAATACTGCTCGTCTTCGTATGGGTGCGACCACGTCGAACGAGCAACGGTGGTGTCCACGTAAAAGTAACGGCCTGAGCTGGGGTCAAGCTGAGTGATCCAGCCAGGGGGTAGGTTGTCCGAAGGCGGAGCTGGAAGAGGCAGGGAGTTGGGAGATCGAGGACCGGGATGACTATTGTGGGTGTATGTGGGAGCGGTTGGTGGTGACATGTTCTGGTGCAGGGGCTTCTACAGATGCGTCAATTGCTCAGCTGTCCGGGCAGTGCATGCAAACACACCTCGACGCGCCGTTCGCTGCTCATACTGCCTTCGGAGGTTGCGGAGGAAGGAGGGTTGGGGACAGAGATGGCGAACCACAACTACCGCAGCCACCCCAGCACACGATTTTGGACAGCGGGGGAAAGCGAAGCAGCTGAGATGGATGGATCGGATTCAGATGCCGTCGTGCAGTAGAAAGCTTACTTCCTTACCACACAGGGACCAGATGGAGATCTCGAGCTAAATTGAGCACGAACGAGATTGTTGATTCCCAAAGTGCGTACCGTCGGCAGGGACGGTGGAAGAAAGAACTGAGAAAGAACAGTGTGGGAGCAAACAAGGTATGCGGCCATAACGCTGGCCCGCGTACTTGCAAGAACGAACGAACGCCGAGATCTGCATGAGATCTGTGTCGTTCGCGTCTAGCCGACTCTGGCGAACCGGGTCGCATTGTGAACCGATCTGATCTTCGATCTGGGTCGGATGATGTGTTGCCTTATATGGATTCCGTGGTTCATGATGGAACCCTACGACGTCTGATGGCAAGAGATTAGTAGTCGAACGGGGTCATGGGAAGGGCCCAGTCAGGCGCCTTGATATTCCAGATGCTTTTGCCGATAGCCTGAGAGAGTTGATCGCCAGAACTGGTGGACATTCTCGAAGAAGTGATGAGCGGCAGCGCGAGCTGTGGGCCGCCGATCTAACCACGCATCCACCTTGGCGAAATGACAGGCAAGCTAATTGTAGCGTCAAAGATCTGTCAACTCTCCCTTATCCGGAAACGAAACTCCCTACGAGCCACTAAATCCGAGTCAATTGAGATCCCGTCTTGCGTATGAAACTAGGAACTGACTCCCCCCGGCTACGAGGATGTGGGCAGCCGCCAGTCAACGGGTCACCGACATTAGTTGCGATCATATCATATCCATCTGCCATGCGAGTGACGCACAGAGCGCCTCCGGAGAACAAAAAAATCACCAGATGGCAGTAGATAAGAATGGGCTGCTAAGAATACGTGACAGGATGCGATGGAAACATACAAAACCCGGTGGCGCCGAGTTCTCCAACAGCTTCGGCAACTCAACTTTCACAAAATGGATACCACCCCGGCCAATGAATTCCGTGTCGTTACGCACAGACGGTTCCCGACAGGCAGCATTGAAAAGCAAAGTTCACGACGGACCGGGAGCAGACATGTTTCTGGAGTTGCGTTCATCAATTTGATGTGGAACGCATTCGGAGAACTCTGATACTTAGCATTCGTTGGATGAAGGATGGTTGATGTATGAAAGGCGAGCTCCGCATTCGTGCACGGTGAGGCTAATATCTAAGCAAGGTGTCAAGGTGGTAGACCGGGTATTGGCCGCTGCCTGTGGAGACTTGATCGGATTTTAAGCTTCAGAGCACGAGGAGTATGGAATGCCGGTTATGAGCCGCTGTGTGGGGCTGACTGTGTAGAACGTCGAAGCCTCTGATTGTTTGCCGCAGAGAACAACACCTGTTTAGAGTCTCCCAAGCAGATCTTCGCAGGCAGAAGGAAGAAGCAACCAGGCAGCATTCGTCCATGAGAGATGCAGAGCCAGAAGCAAGCACACCAGACTGGCTCATGTCGGAGAGAATCCGAGGATCAGTTCACACCGGCCACCTGAGCCAGAAGTCTGCCCACCATGTTCAGATTAAATCGGTCCTCATATGTCAGGGAGGACTGCGGATGCTTTCATCGGCAGATGAGGAGCGAAGTCGATTCAAATCTGAGAGACCTAGCATATGAAGTTGCTTTGGCAGCTGACCACAAGCTGAACCACAGTGTCAGTTCCATTCCAAGTGTGACGGGACGGAGCAGGGCTGGAGTGACAGTGACGGGGGCAGAAATGATAGCCGAACACGTGATCGCTCTGTCCAGCGACCTCGAAGTCCTCACACGAAGCAAAACAAGTGTGCTTTCGTGTTGAATGTCGATATCCGTGTTATTGACCACATCTATTCATAGAACCGACCGAAAACGTGCCGCGGCATCGTCGACTCAACTGCGAGCATCAGTGGAAATTGCGGGACATCGCCTGCATCGTCTGCTCCCTACCCGAGTAGTGCAAGAAGAGTCCGACGCTCGAAGCCCATCGATTCCCTTGGGGTGCCTGGCCGAAGTAGAACGACTGAGCTCTGATGATCTCGGCCGCCTCCCCGCCCCTCTTGCTGCCCAGCCGAGCCATACCGCGGCCAGCGCGTGTTCCCCACATCGAGTGGAAGCCCTCAAAATATCTCGACGAACCACAGCCACCGCCAATAGACGATGCTACGCGAATGCAAGAACTAGAGGCCAACGCACGACAGCTCGCGGAGGGGAAGCCCGTCAAAAAGACGAGGCCAAGGAGGACGGTCGATTATAACGGGGGACTTGGGCGATGGACACTGGTGCGCATCCTCGTGTAAACTCATACGCATCGGGCATTCACGACGCGTAGCTGAGAAAACTCCGCCCAAATCACGGTTATGTGCCGTATCTCCGACCCAGTCCTCCATATATCATTGACGTGCGAGGAATCCTTTTGCGAGAATCACTATTCAAACTGAAGCATCGCAGCTCCTCCCTCCGAAAGCATACCCGGATAACCCATCTACTTCCCTGTGCACCAAATTCGTCCATACTTCGACCAACAAGGTCAGATGTCCCGTCAACGTCGTCACTGTGCGTTTCTGTTCCATTCCGGCCCTTCTCTCATTTGGCTCACGCACTACACTACCCACCACAGTGGACACCAGAAGGCCGCCGCGTGCTGACGGGGTCTACGAGTGGCGAGTTCACGCTCTGGAATGGCCTGACGTTCAACTTCGAGACCATCCTCCAAGCACACGACACCGCGATCTGCACCCTCACCTTCACGCACTCGGGCGCGTATCTTGCTTCGGCCGACAAAGCCGGGACGATCAAATACTTTGAGCCCAACATGAACAACCTCGCGGCCTGGCAGGGATCCAATTCCCATGAGGCGATCCGCGGATTGAGCTTCAGCCCGGACGACCGGCGGTTTGCGACTGCGAGTGATGACTCGAGCGTCCGGATCTGGGATTTCCAGGAACGCAGGGTGGAGAGTGTTTTGACCGGTAAGCGGTCGGTTCGAGCACAAATCGACAATCCTGATCACCTCAGGGCACGGATGGGATGTCAAGTGTGTCGAGTGGCATCCGACGAAAGGGCTGCTTGTGTCTGGGAGTAAAGACAATGATATTAAGTTCTGGGACCCGCGCACGGGGACTGTGCTGTCGACATTGTGGGTGTGCGCCAGTGTTTGTGCATGAGAACGACTGACGATTCCCACAGACATCACCACAAGAACACGATCCAAGCACTGTCCTGGTCACCGAACGGAGACGTCGTTGCTAGCGCATCTCGAGATCAGACTGTGCGCGTCTTCGATATCCGAGCGATGAAGGAATTCCGGACATTCAAGGGCCACAAAAGAGACGTTTGTTGTAAGTCGTAATTGTCGAGCACCCTAAGCACTTACCGACGCTGAGTTCAGCTGTGACCTGGCACCCGATCCACCCGATCCTCGTCTCAGGCGGATCCGAGGGCGAGATCTTGCACTGGGATCTAACAGCAGCCGATACCGGCTCCTCGTTCAGCCAAACCGCGGCGCTTCCTCGGGCGACGCTGTCTCAAGCGCACGACTCGAATGTCTGGTCCCTCCAATTCCACCCGCTCGGACACCTGCTCGCGAGTGCATCAAACGACTACACGACCCGCTTCTGGAGCCGCGAACGGCCGGGTGACGCGACGTCGGTGTTCTCCGGCGGCGGCGAAAAACCGCCCGAAGTTGCACCGGACCAAGGCGGGCAGGACGACGAGGACGACGAGATGGTCCCCGGATTTGGCGGTGGAGGCGACGGCGGCAATGGCCCGTACTGGGGAAACAGCAACGGCTTCGACGATGAGTCGATTCCCGGCATGGCTCAGGATCGAGTTCCCCCGCCGAGACAGTACCCAGAATACCAGCAGGACGAGTCTTGGCATCGGAACAACAACAACGCAGACGACTGGAATAGCCGCAATTCTGGTGGACATAACGGTCGTTCCAGTCGCTGGGGCCCCCGAAATAACAACAACAACAATCGCGGCCGGTATTAGTCGGTCCACAGTTTGTTGTCCTCGTCTCCAATCGATCCGTATTTGTCTCTAAATTGTGTGGTACCAGATAGTATGCGTGTATACAGGAGTAGTCGTGGTATGTGCTAGATGCGTATATCATGTCAAATGCTAATTGTACAAAAATCGAAGTCGAAATTATGGTAAAGATACACCTGAAGGACATAAAGAGGGGAAGGCATGCTGATGAGCAATCTATGCGGCTATGGGGGTTGCAGAACGAGATTCAGAAGATATTCCAGGCGAGATATATTCCTCGACAGACTCCCTCGAAGGCAGACCCTCGATCTCTTCCGGTCCCGTGTAAAAGCAGAATCTGGACGGGGGAAATAGATCAGACCCTGCAAGACGGTGCACGCAACAGCTTAAACTCACCTATCAAGAAAATTGTGATAACTCGCAGCTGGACTCACGCCAGCGGGCAACCCGACACCATCCGTGGGGCTAGCAGGAGACGCTGTCCCACTCGCAGAGGAACCTGAGCTAGTCACGTAGCTTGGAGTGTTCTCCTCGCTCCCGTCCGGAATGTACGACCCAAGCCATGACGTTCCGGGCGAGTTGAGTCTCGCTTCGCTCGCTTGTCGCAAAGGGACATCGAAATATCCCCGCTGGTGGTATCGGCCGACAGGCAAGGGAGCCGGAGAAATGCCCAGCACAGGCTCCTCGTTATCAGTCGACGCGAGATGTACAGGCCGGAATGCTACGTCATCAGATGCGTCACGAGGCGAGCCGAGGCTGGCTTTAGGTGGCATTCGCGGCGGCCAATGCGCACTGTTAGTCGGGCTGGGCGAGTCGAATCCAGCGGGATACGATTGGGTTCGCGAGTGAGGGTGCCATGGCTGCTTGGCGGAATTGTTGAAGTCGTAACGAGCTGCAAGAGAACCGCCAGCCTTGAAATTCTCTGTCGTCGTCGAAAGTTGGCTTGGCGGTTGTCCCTGCGTCTTCACCACACGTTCCAGTCGACTGCGCAAGTCAGCTGCAACTGTGGTTCCAGACCCAGACGAGTCGTTCTCGGACGAAACAGACACGGGAGCATCCGCCGGCTTTGGGCGCTCACTCTCGCGAACGCGTCTGAAGACGGCGCGATAATTCGACCCCTCGTTGTTGTCCCACATCTCTCGGCCCGCAGAGTTGTAGCGAACTGCGAGTAGCATCTCCTTCCCTTCGATCCGTGCCAATACGTCATTCAACCGGATGGAGAACGAAAAGATGTCAACCTGCCCGCCAGCGAGCGATTGCAGGTGACGCGCAGTGACCTCGCTCGTGGTCTGCCATCCGTCCAGCGTGAAACGCACAGCAACCCATTTATCGAACGCCAGATTCCGCACGGCAATCGTGCCCGTCACATTCGC